ATACTGACCCCTTTACACCAATGACATGGCACTTTTAACATACACTTTGTAGATAAAGCACAGATTTAGTAAAGTTCACTATTGAAAAAATAGTGCAGGCAGTCTCATCACAGCAATGTCCTTCTGTAATCTAGCTGTGAAATGGATATTCATAATTCTTCAGTTTATACCTGAAGTTTGCCCCGGCATCTCTGTGTTTGCACAGCGCTCAGTATGATTACCTACCTTCATGACAGTCATTCATTAAAACTACAGGGGTCAGTCAAGCAACACAGCCCCAAACTAAATGATGAAACATGTGAGCTAGTCCCTTGCTTTTACATTAATTGTTCAATTCTCTCAAGACTATCAGAAGTTGATTCTTTTTTGTTTTGGTTTTGATTGTGCTTTGTGTTTTTTACAAAAGGTTCTGGCTACCAGGCTGGTCTCAAACTAGAAATCCCCCTAGCTGAGCCTGCTGAGTGCAGAAGGCAGTTCTTAGCAAATGACTTAAGCTTTCTGTTTTTCCCCCTGTTTTTTACCCAGCAGAAGCATTTCTCAAGTGTCCACCGGTCCCAGAAGGGGAGTTTTGCAGAGGTGGCCACTGCTGTCGAGCAGACTGACCCCTCAAGCCTCTGCAGCAAGGGGACCTGGGAGGGGACACAAGCAAAGCACAGCTTTCCCCTGAGTTGTGCGTTAACCACTGCAGCTGGCAGTGTAAGAATGTGGCTCTCAGAGCTCTGAGTCATGGTGTGGAAATGAGAACTTGCTCATCCTTTCTCCGAGTTTAGACTGCCAAGGGAGGCTGTGCTGGGCATACAACTGTTCACTTACCAGATGTAAACTTTCTAACACAGGGTTCATTTTGGGCTTGGTATGGTTTGACTTTAGTGTGTGCCAACTCACCTTTCACTTTTAGGAAAACCAAGTTGGTTTCCGGGTCCACCCGTGCTGATCTCAGCTAGGGCACTCTAGGTTGCTTGATTTGCTTGGGAATCTGGATTTGAGGAGCAATCTCCTGCCCCTGGGTTGCTAGGCTGACCCTGGCTGTGGCTCCGTTAGTTCTTTTCGGAGCGCCTGGAACCACTCTGCCACTAGAGTTACGATCTGGGGGCTGTTCTGCCCAGCTGCACAGCTGCTTCGCATTGATCCCGTGTTAGAGGGAGTTCAGTTCATGCCGTGCCTTTCAAGGCGGTTCCACTCAGCCAAGCTTTTTTGGGAAGAAGCTTTTGTTGTTTGTTTTGAATTCAAGATGAGCCACAGTCATCACCTCCGACCCACCCAACCCTGCTTGGGAGAACAGGAGAAGGGAGGGCTGCTCTCCTGAGGCTCCAGCAACCCAGCGCTCACCCTGGCCTCTGCCCAGATCCTCGGGATAAATACAGTTTACTTATTCGATCACACACTGGTGATTGAACACATATATTCATGCATTCAACAAATGCATACATCACATAACTATATGTTTAAAATAATCAAAAATGGTAATCCCATAAAAGTAAAATAAATACATGTAAATGTTACATAAATATTATAACTTTATAACATTTACAAATACATTTTAAATACATGGTATATTTAAGTGAAAACAATAAACAAATCAAATCATATCCACTGGTATTTTCAGGGTCAGTGCACCAGCTATTGTGTGTTTTGCTATAACATCCAGTGCTGGCTGTGCCTGGACACACTTGGGCTTGA